TTCTGCTGCACTCAGGGTCTCCAGCAGCCACCCTGTGGACTGGGTCACTGCCTCAGGTAATACACAAGAACTCAAAATTCTGGAATATATTAAAACTGGATATGCAAACAATTTAGAACTGTTTCCAACATGTCCTAAAGTACTGTACATATGCTAGACCTTTGTTTTGAATAATCTCTTCAGTAACCATTTTACCCAAAAATGTCTTTGCCACAGCTGGGGGTGTGTGTGCTGTAGCTTACTTTGTAACCACTAAGAAATGCAAGTTTATGCTTGATAAGATTGTTTACAGTTCTGCTGTTCACATAACAGCTGCAGCAACAGGCAGAACCAGAAAAAGAGCTCTTACTTCATCCCCTAATTGGCAAGCTTCTGTCTAGGTAAGCCATACCTTTTGAAATATTCTGGATTTTCATGCTTTTCTTGTCTAGTTTTGGTGTTTACATATCAAACTGAGTTGTCAAATGTTTGTTATAGCTTCTTGGAAGCAGAAGACATAATGCAGTTGTAAAGGTTGCTTACAGGTAACTCCATAATAATATGTGCATTGGACTGCTTTCTTGGTATATCCCTGCCCCCCCAACCTTTTATATTCATTATTTCTTTACATTAAAGTTGTGAAAGGGTGGGGATGTCCTACTTTTAGTAACACAGTAACACAGTAAGAGGGAAATATATGTCTAATTGAAATTATAAAGTTGAGTAAAGGCCAAAAATGTAAATATATTCACATGGGATTTGTGTATCAGTCCTAACCCTGCTTTGTTTCTCTGTGTGTCACTTCTTCCATCTGCTCCTTTATGGCTCTTGGCTATGTGTCCAGACCTACCCAGTCCTACTTGTTAGTATTTATCTATTCTTATTTTCTTTGTTCTTCTCCCCTTTGATCATTTCCCCTGGTTGTATATCTAGAAATGTTTATTCTTTTCCTCCTATTTTTAGTTCATAAACAAACAGCTAAACAAAGATAGTAAGAACATTCTTCAGAATGTTTACAGGCTTTTTCATAGTTAAGCCCCAAATATCATGCTTTCACTAATCATATTTTGGCCCTAATTAAAATAAGTTTTGAAAGCCTACTGTAAACTCATTCATTCTATACCAGTTCAGACTGTAAAAAAATGTAAGCATTCAGTAAGTATACATTCCTCCATAACAAAATCCTTAGCAGCTTCATTTCCATCATGAACAAAGAACCTCATTAATTCTGGTTTCTACTAATTCTGTGAGTTCACAGAACCATGAATTTGTGTCATTTGCAACAAAATGAAACAAAATGTGTTTTGTGCCAATGAAAAAATCTTCCATGGAGAAGAGCAGCTTTGTGGGTTGGGTGTGTGGCTGCTGACAGCAGTACTATCAAAGTGTACCCCAGCTGAATTTATCTAGTTTTTTATTTCCTTACTCATATTTATTGTTATTAGCAAGATATGACACTTCATTACACTTCTTAAACAAGCCCTGTAAAATTGCTGGAAGATAAGAATATCAAAACAAAGACTTGACAAACACATTCATCCAATCTTGATGGGAAGAACAAACATCTCCTGCTTAAGTTTTCCAGCACAATGCTGGAGAAATTTATTCTTTTAGTGTCCTGCTCATATTAATGTTTTTCAAAGCATTAAGCTTTGAACTATCTTTCACATTGCAGTAGTCTGATAAAGAATATGGTTAAAAAATACAGAAAGCTCTGATAATAGTAACCCAAATAGCAGTGGCAGAATTTGAGTTTCTAGCTGTAATCTAAATAGATTCATATCCTTAGAGTTCAGCACTGTGACATAAATGCAACAGCAGCTTCATTGGCAACTTGGTGACAACTGATTCTGACTGCACTAGCTTTAGGGCAAATATGGACTTTAGGAGGCATTCTTCCAGACAAGAGTCTTAAAATCCTGAAGAGTGTGGATATGTATCAGGAGCATTTAACCCAAAGATCAGATGAAACATTAAAGTTTCCTTCTCAATAGTTGTATGGAATGTTGACACGTAATTAAAATGTGAGTCTATTTAGGGATTTTGTCCATTACAAAAATCTCTTATGTATTTTACCAAAATATTTTTATTTGATTTATGTAGGTTTGTACAAGTCTGCATATACTGTTAATCAGATTCACTACTTATTATTTTACAGCACTGTGAAGAGGAACTATTTTTTCCCGGCACACTTGAGTCTTCATATACAGGCACCACTTTAAGGCAGATAGATTCTGGAGTGGACTTCTGACACTTTGTAAACCTTGTCTTTTGTTCTGTCAGACATCCTGTCTACTGTAGTAATAGCTCATTAAAGAATAATTCCTTAATTCATGAAAAACCCTGGCTTCGTATAGGAAGCAAAGCATTTATCACAAGATAATCTTCAACTGGTCTAGTACTTCACCAGATTTTAATCAGTGATTAATTTATAGAAGTATTCTTAACACCAGATTCCTAAGAATTGTCCTATCAGTTCTAATATAAGTGCATAAATGGGATGTATTTGAAAACTAGTCCACATAGGACACCAAACTCCCTGTGCAGATATACCCATAACTGCTCCCTGGATCCATCTGTTGTGACCAGAAGTGTCAATGACCACATTCTAGAATAGCAGTGTTCCAACCTGAAATGTTTCCTACTTGGTGGCTGAGAGCCCTTCAAACAGCACTAAGAATATTTCACTATGCCTAGGTCTCCCCTAAGAACAACTTTTTCTTCCTTTAATATTTCTAGTATAGGAATGTCAGAATTCTACCAGCTGTGTATTTGACAGATCGATACTAGAAATTATTACCAACTTTCAATTTGAAGAAATTTTAAAACTCTATTTTTATCCACAGTGGGCAGAGAGGCTGCCTACCATTTCCCACAAAAGACAGGATACAAAACGAGTGGAGCAAGTCCAAATTTGAACTTCTTATATGGAAATGTAAAGGCAGGCAATGATCAGAGTAAGCCAAGAAAAAAACCAAGCTCCTTCTGATCTGTGAGGCAGTGATAATAATAATAATTAACAGATTATTATTATTACAGTTAATAATAATTTTAACAGAAATGGAAGGGAGTGGCAGAAAGCTGCTCTGTTCCTGGTGTCTGATCTGTTTATCTCCAACTGCACAGAGAGCATAGGCAACATGGGCATGGGCTGGGGGCAACGGGAAAACAGAGCCTGCCCCAGCATGTGTACGGTGATGGGAAGGAGCAGCAACTCCCCAAGACAGAGAGGATGAAAAGTATGATTACTGAACTGTTGGAAATTTCATTTTTTCTTCCCTGGAGTATAAGAAAATCCTGTTAAAACGGCAGTTTAAACCACACCAGCTTAATATTACCCATTAACTCAGGCCAGGCCTCTTGGCCAGCCCTGCCCAAGTCTTTCCACCATTCGGACCGTACCTATACCCGCACAGCCTCCATCCTGCACGCCGCACCGTGCATCCTGCATCCCGCACCGCCCATCCTGCATCCCCCTCCCCGCACCCCTCACCCCGCACCCCTCACCCCTCACCCCGCACCCCTCTCCCCTCTCCCCTCACCCGCACAGCGCCCGCTGCCGCCGCGCTCCCCGGCGCGGCCCCGCCCCCGCCGCCCCTCGGGCGGGCGCGCAGGAACATGGCCGGGCAGGGCGGCAGCAGCGCTGGAGGCCGCGGCGTTGTGGTAAATGCGGAGCGCGGCCCGGCTCGGCCCGGCCGCTCGCCCCTCGCCGGCCGCGGTGCCTCCCCGCTCCCCGGCCCGCTTCCCCGATGTCCCCCGGCGCTTTGTGCTGAACCTCCGCGCCCTTCCCTTCCCTTCCTTCCCTTCCTCCGGCCCCGGCCGGCGCTCGGGCCGCCTCCCCTCGCCCCGCGCCGCTCCGCCGCGCCCGCGGCCCCGGCCCCGCTGCGGCCGCCGGAGCGGGACGGGCGGGCTGGGCTGAGCAGTGTCTTTGGCTTCCGCCGTGAAAACACGGTCCGGTACCACCCCAAGCGGCCCCGGGGTCGTGTCTATGCTTGCCCAGGCTCCTTGAGCACCGGGGATGAGGATCCTCGGTCATCCCGAGGTGTCTTTCTCCCACCGGCACTCTGCGAGGCCTCTGGGAGAGGGTTGGGCTGCCCGTGTTCTGCTGGGGTGGGAAATAGCCCGAGCCTTGGCACGCGTTTGAAATGCCTGTAGGGATGGATAAATGGTGCAAAAATTAATGAATATGATCCTTATTCTGAGACACACCTGATTCTCCTGTGAAGCAAATGCCATCACTGCCACCACCTTAGGTATGTTCTTATTTCAATGTGGCATTAGGATTTTAACAGAAAGTTCACGGGTCAGCTGCCCAGATCATGGCACAGGACGCTCTGTGTAGGCAGTGGTCACACTGTCCACTCCAACATCTCCTTCATCCCCCTCCTGAAGGACCTGTCTCCGTGTATTCGAGCTCTGTCTGAAAACACCACACATCAGCCACATCTCCTGACACCTGTATAATAAATTACATTCCTTAAGTGGGTGACTGTGCTTATCATCAAGCAACAGGAGGTTATTGCAAAGTCAGACATGAATGTGCATGACCATCTTTTGCTGCACTGATTTAATTTTTTCTGCTCAACTCCCAAAAAACCCAACCAGCAGTAAGTCCAGTGCAGCATCATTTAAGTTACAAAAGCTGGACTTTGCTTCATGCTGCTTGGAGCCGAGGACTGAGCTCAGACCTCACCTGTGCTCACTTTGCCAGACAAGAAAATGAGCAACATTCTTCTAAAGGTGTTGAATGTCTTCAGCTTGTCTCTTAGGCCTCAGGGGAAAGCTTTTGGATATTGCCATGTATTTGTATTCCTCTTTGTATCCATTCACATCAACTCTTTAAAGACTTACTGAAGAGTATCTGCTGGACTATTCAAACATGCGAAACCTGAACTTTAAAAGTAGGTCTTTATTTCACTGTAGGAATGTTTTACAGACAAATATGCCAATGTATTTAGAATATATATATTTACTCATCCAGTTGAACACTGTTTTTTCTGAAACAATGCAAATTTTTTCCTTCATTTTTAAATTCTCAAATAGAATAGTCATAAGAATTTACAGTTACTTGAAAATTGTCTTACAGCATAACACTGTGAATAGCTTTAGGATAAATGGGATTTTCTTAGACTTGTTGGGAAGTGCCTGTTTAAAAGAAAGAAGAGTATGAAATAGGGTTATTATATCAGACAAATAATTAATTTGAAAGTACATGTGAATTTCATCTTATTTGTCAAATGCCAGCAAGCACTTGTAAACAAGAACTTCAATATTATTGTAGAGTTACACTATGTTCTGCTATTCTAGAAGGATAAATGGGAGAATCAAAATTTCATCCTGATTCTGTTTTATAAAGGACTTATTGTAGCCTAAGTAAAAGTTATTGGGTTGTATGAATTCTAAAGCAATTTCCATCCATTTAATTTGATCTGCATCACACTGAAAACGTGCAATTTGCCAAGAATGCAGAAGTAAGCAACACTGACAGGGGTTGCTAGTGGGTGTTGTAATACTTAATGAAATTGTTTCAGTTTGCATTAAAATGCTTTTGAACAGACCGTTCATTGCTACAAAATGTTTAAAAACTTTCAGCTTCCTCATGCACTGAAAAAGTAGATGGGAAAATAGTCTTTGCAGGCCGACTGCAGCAGTGTTTCTGGGGCAAGACTTTCTCTAATAAAAAGCTTGCCAAGGAGGATATTTATAATCTCCTGTTTCTATGGAAATGAGGAACACAACTAAGTAACTTTTTTTTCTTTTGTGTAGTTTCAAGGCTTGTGTAAGTCAGGGGAAAAGCTTTCATTGATTCCAGTGCTCTCCCAGTCATGCCCTTCATGGACAAATATTCAGTAGCCAATGAGTAATTTTTTTGATGCAGAAAATTTTGGGTAGAGTTAAGAAAATATGCCAGTTAAGGAGCCTGTAACCGTCAATGAATAGGAAAAAAAAAGCCCCCAAGCAACTCAAAATCCATAAGGCAGAACAGTGTTTCAGTACAGCAAGAGGCAGGGCTGTGTCCGAGTTAAAGAAGAGGGGATGTGGAGGACCAGCTCGACGTCAAATATGTTATCTCAGCCAAAACTGTGAGGAACAATTTATTGCTCTACTATAAAATGGTAAGCAGGGATTAATTTCAGTGATGGTCATTTAAAGACTGTAGCAAAAATGCCATTAAGATATGCATTGCACAATGGCAAGTTTGCCTCCATTTCTCCTTGTGATCAAGATTCCTGTAGCCAGGCTGTGGAAAATGTGTGACTTGAGGAATATGATTGTAAGGAAAACCTATTAGGTGTTGCTTTTTATCCTGAACCAGTATTGGAGCAAAGCTTTGCAATGATTTCAAGGTACCTTGTGAACCTGTCTTATCTGAAAGTCTTGTCTTTCATAAGGAATAGGGAAAATGTTTGTTTTGGAGTTTGTTTAGTTTTTGTGTTGGTGACTTTGCATTTCATAGCTTTCTGAAGCCTTCAACCGTTGGCTAATTTTTGGCCTTCTTAATTTCTACCACCATTGTATGTTGTGAGATCTAATCTCTGTATTCTGATACTTACAAAACCAATGTATATTAAGTCTGTAAAATATTTTTTCTGTAAATATATGGATTTACAGACTAGTTTCATAGTGAGGTGAGATGCAAACATTTTGTAACCACTTGTATTTGATGACATCTAAATTAACAACCTCACCTTTGACAAGAAGTACAGTATTTCACTGATTTGTACAGATATCATCCATGAACCACATAAATTATTCTCTGAATGTGCTGTTTCATCTGTAGAATACTTACCTATTTATTTATAACTTTAAGTCATTCTAAACTAGAAATGTACAATTTTAATATAGAATTTTTTGTCTTTTATTCCAACATATGAATCGCCATTGGAAAATCCCTTCTTACTGGCACTATTATATTTGCACTTTGAGTTTGAAAGTACTTAGAAACTTATTTTTGCCGCTAGTTTAGTCTTAAATATTTCCTTTGTCTGTCTAGTTGTTTGTAATTTCAGGTGACATTTCCCACACTCTGTAGGGAGAAAGCTGTAGCATTTGATTTCTGAGTTATACAGAGAAGCAAAATAATTAATGGGAAAAGCAAAATAGTAAATTGTAACTGGAAGAAGCTATGGCACACAATGAATTCATCCAACAGAGCGTACTAGAATGCTGATTTTGTATCAGTTACATAAGGTCAAACACCATGAAGTGTTCTTGACAGTACTATTTGATATTCAGATTTCAGACAATTGGCCTGGATACAGTCTGGATTTATTCACTTACCCTCAACACTACTATGGTGACCTGGAATATGTGCTCATTCCTCATGGCATTATTGTTGACAGGTATGTGTTGCTTGAATGTTACTAAATAAATTGTTTGGTCAGTAGTATTATTCTTTTTTATAAAGACGGTCATCCATATACAGTACATGTATGATTTTTGTCATAAAATATTATAAGTTAAAAACTTGGATATTTTTATTTAGAAATTTAAATTAGTACATTTTTGTCTGTCCTGGAGTGCCTACATTTTTAACATACAAAGTGGTCTTTGGAATTCCTGGAAATTTTAGCTGCAATCAATCTGAGGAACAATATAAAAAATAAAAATTCATCAAATAAATGTTTCTTAATGAGAGGTTTTCCCCATTCTCAGACTTGATAAAGATGATAAAAGACTATTTTATTAATCTTCAATAAAGTAAGTGATCCTAATTTTTACAACACTAAAAGGAATTATATATTTCAGATCAAATAAGATGATCTAATTTTTCTAATCTCTTCTATTTCTCATCTAAAAATACACTAATTATTGCCATATGGAATTTGCTACAGCATTAAAAATAAAATATGTGGAAATGAAGCAACAGCTGTTTCTCATACTTAATATGTTATCATCAGTCTAGAACTTATTCTTCTCTGCTCCATGCACAGATTTCACTAAAGATCAATCAATGTACTTATGTAGGGGCAAATTGATTTCTGTATTACAGTTGACAGAGAAAGAAAAAAAAAACAACTAAACCTGAAAAATGTAATAATCAAATATATGGGATAAATTATAGGGTTATTTAATAAATTGTATCCTGTCAACAAGTCCACTCTTGTTGATACTACTAATTTAAGTCAGAGAGCTATCAAATAATTTTCCAGTGGAAGTGTTAACAAAATATAATTTGCTGAGCTGTTTTTTCTCAAAACATCAAATGACATTTTAAAGTTTTCTGTTGATACTTCATTACATCTAGAAATGACCCAGTACCCTACTGGGGGTCAGGAAACACTATATTTAAAGTTAATATTATTTACATTTATTACTAAGATTAATATTTATTATTTTTATCTTAAAAATGTATGTAGCATTGCATGGCAGAAATGTGTACCCTTTGTTTCCAATCATCTGCCATATTGTGTTTGCCATGCAGAATTGTCCAAAAGGATGGGTTTGGTTGAGAACCACACAATTCCAGGCTCACTGGGGTATTTGCTTGATTATTTTCCTGTGTGGGACCTTGAGCAAGTCACTGAAGCTCTTTACACTCTTCATTTCTGCTGTACAAAGCAGTGTCCTGTACAGAATAGTGATAATATACACTCGTTATAAGCTTTTCACTGATGCTCTATTTCATTCTAGTTTTTATGTATATTTTTATTAAAACTGTAGGGGTAGCATCTTCCAAAGACAATCAGAATGAAAGTTTCAAATATTTTCCCTATCTTCCACTTGTTCTTGTGCAGTAACTAACATAACAAGTTAGGGGTTTGTACATGTATATTTTATACTGATAATTCCTGTGAGGTAAAATGGAAGGCTAGTTCACATTCTTTTCTCTCAAGTCTCTGACATATTTATGAGCCAAAAATATGCTGAGATGTGTAGGTCCTGTTTGTATAGCTGGGGAATTTATGCGTTTAAGGTCAACTAGAATCAAGTGCTTTGCATATTACATCCATCACTTTGTATCTGCTATCTGTGAGCTGGATCCAAACCCTATCAAGCACTGGAATGGGCCATCCTGGGAGGTGGTAGAGTCACCATTCCTGGAGGTGTTCAAGAAAAGACTGCACATGGCAGTTACTGTTATGGTCTAGCTGACATTCTGGTGATGAGTCAAAGGGTGGGCTCAGTGATCTTGAAGGTCTTTTCCAACCTAAATCTCTCTGTGCTTCTGTGAAGTCAGGCTACTTAAGCAATGCCAATCAAGCTTTATACTCATGATAGTGTTTGTAAAGCATACCACGAACTTAGAGCATCTGCATCTAAAGTTATTTTATCTCTAATTTTTTCTTTTGTGCAGGACAGAACGACTGGCAAAAGATATTATGCAAGACATTGGAGACAATGATATTGTGGTTCTCTGTGTCCTCAAAGGTGGCTACAAGTTCTGTGCTGATCTTGTGGAGCACATTAAAAATCTCAGCAGAAATTCAGAAAGGTTCATCTCCATGAAAGTCGATTTTGTTAGACTGAAAAGTTACCACGTAAGTCAACAACTGATTTATGTAGATTCTGGTTGAATGTCATAATAAATTACTGACTTTTGCATGTGAGATCTCCACCTCCAATTATAAGGAAAACTGCATGAAAAATATTTTTGTTTGCAAAACCTGTGAGGCTTTCTTAAAAACTCATATCCCTTATACTTTGTAGATAGTAAGAATAAGGATATGAAGCAGCCTTGCCCTCTATTGTTTTATTTAGTCTGTCTTTTACTTCTGGACAGAGAAGTATTCAAATTTCATTCATGTAAAATGACAGCATTTGTTCTCAAAATCCTCAGCAGTTCTGTCAAGTTAATTTCATTTATTGCATTTTTTACCCCCGCATAGTTTGGCATAACTGCAAGGTGGTAAAATCTATGTCTTCTTCTAAATGTTTAATGCTAAGTAAATGAAATGCTTTCATCTTCATAGCATGCAGTTTACATAGTAGCAAAATATACCACCAGATGATGATAGTGTTCTACAAGAATATGAAACAAGCCATTCAATCAAATCCAGTGTTGAAGTAATCATCAAGCCCTCCTGTTATCTTCAGAGGAAATTATGCAATAATAATTCATCTGTGTCACTAAGGATATGATACTGAGATGACCAGCATTTTTCAGAATCTCTAACTACAATGTCTTATTGTAGAAGTTATAAATTTGTATCCTATCCTGCAGTGCATGGTTCACAGTGAGGTAGCATTTCTATAATTAAGCTGTAGAAGTGTCTGAGGAAGTACACTACACAAATAGAGTGATAATAATGTGTCTTGCAGAAATGCAACTTTCTATGTCCTGTAGTTCCCACATTAACTCTACAGCCTTTCCACAATTTGTTGGCTGGCATTTTCTTCTGACCCCAGTGACTATAAACTTTTTCTAACTTTCACAGATCTGGTCTGACTTTTTTTTCACTGTGAGAAAAAAGGTGAATGAGAACCTATTATAGCCATTTGGTTAGGATTTGGTCCTAGGACTTCTGTTTCAAGAATTAGTTCTATGAAGCACATGTGAAATACTAATATTATACATTTTCTAGGTATTCAGCAGTATTACAGAAATAATTAATAAATCATAATGTTATATAATGTCTCACATAATGGCACATGGAAATTTCACTCAATTTTTTTTTTGTGTGGTTATAATAGCACTTCTGTAACACTGCTGAGGAAATTGGGGAATTACTTAAATTGGGTTTTATTTTGCATCTGGCATGTAGGTAATGCTCGTGTTTTTCCTACAGAGTTATTTCCTATCAAGTATGAAGATATCCTAGCTCTAAAATTTCTTTCCTTGGGGTCAAATCTTATTAGCCATACTAACCCATAACCAATGAGTGGCAGGAGATGTGTACTGCAAAAGTGTGTAAATTTTCACCTCTTTAGCTTAGGAAATAATGTAAAAGCATGTTATATCAAGCTGAAACAGCACTAAGAATTTTATTATGCAAGGGTGCAATTACCAATACTAAGTCCTAGATAATCTTAGCATTTAGTGGCTGTGCATATTTTGGGTCCTATCTTTCTCATGCTATATCAGAAAGGTAGCACCTTCCCAAGAACTAGTGCCTGCATCTACATTTTTGAAAATATATTCTTTTTTCTTGTATGTACTTCCAAACTGGTGTCATGTATTGTGAGGCTGAAGCCATCCTTGATTTAGTGCTTGGATCAGTGCTTGATACCTGTCTGGTCTTGAGAAGCTGAATGACACTGCAGTAGAAATTTGAAATTACATTAATGTTGGTAGATGCAGTCCATGAGATATGCATAAACATACTGCTGACTAAAGCACCTTTGCATCTTGAGTTATTGTTGTGTCCTGTGCAATTGCAGGTTTTGGAGAATGTCCCCTTGTCAGCATAGCTGGGCTCAGATCACTTGAGGAACTCACTAGTCTGAGAGACTCTTTATCCTGGCCTTATACGAAACTCCCAAATCTCCATGTTAGTTTATTCTGTAATAACATGTCTTCCTCAGTGTTTTGCACTTTAATCAGAGGCAACAATTATAGCTTTAGAGATAAGACTCTACTTAAAATCTTGGAGCATCACCAGTTTCACTCCTTTGTTTTCCTCTGAGTTTTCTGTTCCACTTTCTAGTAAGACCTATCACTGCCTTCTCTTTTTATACCTTTTTCATTTCACAGACACGGTTCTTCTCACATTATTTATCCTGTTTCCTTTTACTAACTGTTCTCTCTTTCTCTCCTGAAGGGAGTCCTGCTGCTCTCAATATGCTTCCTTCAGACATGTCTCCCTTCCCCCCTCCAGCTGTTTAAATCCAGAAACTAATTTCAGCTCAAACTCATGGGATTTTTGTATTGTCTCATTCCAGCTTCAATATTGAAAGGTTAGTTGATTTTTAGGGGCTGTAATTCAAAGTGGGATTTCTTGGTTTAACAGGCTAGCAAAAACGGGCTGTAATTGTGACCCAAAGTCAAATCTTGGCATCAGTGAAAGTACCCCTTAACTACCAAGTATCAGTGAAAAATGTTGTACTTTACTGTTTAGCATGCAGACATGATTACAGGAAAAGGAGATTGCAAATATGACCAGTTTTATATGGCTCTTTGTTTTTCAAACCTGTCATGATATTACAGGATTTAGACTTCAGAATTTATACTTAATTAGTATGTTAGGATTTGCTTTCATATTAAGTAGCTGAAAGCTGGGCATGAATCTTCTTTGTAAGATTTCTTCCTGCAAATTAATTGATTAAAAAAAAAAGCGTAGTACATTTAGTGTCTCTGGATAATGAGTTGCTACTTGTACTGCCATAATCAGTATGGTTTTATCTGGTTTGCAAAATATTGTTATATGTGCCTGAATATTTTTACATTTTTGTGAGAAACTTTGTATATTTCAAGGAGCAGGTTAAAAGAAAGCACCAAGTTGACAGAAAATATGATTTCAGGAGTAAACAGATAGGAAGCATCATGTAAAGTTAAGCATAAAAGGAAGTAGATGGAGAGGAAAATCAAATTAATTTTCCAGATGGAAATCTAGATGAAAAGCAGCAGCTCTGAGTTTTAAGAGGTGGAGAAGAGAAAACATACACTTCTTTGAATGAAGTCAAGAGTAGCAAGGCAAGAAGTATAGTGGGTAGAGCAAGAAGCACTACAATAATCCTCATGGGAAATACGATGAATATATAGAAAGATGCATGCCAAGTTTTAGGGGAAAACACTGTATCTGGAAACACTGACATGAGAACTGATAGAATTTAGCAGCTTTTTAGATATTAGGTTCTAAGATACTGGATTTTAATATTTCAGGAACAGTGGGATTGACGGCAGAGATTTTTGAATTAAAACTGGATGAATAAAATTTACTATTTTAATTTTTAGCATGCTGATTTTTTTCCTGAGTGATTGTTCCTCCACAGGGAATCAGAGTTCTGAAGTTGAAAATGGGTGAGGGTTTCAGATTGCAAGGAGATTTCAAAATTGTGTTCAGAAGCATGGTATGTTGAAGTTAAAGATGAAAAGTAATGGCGGAAGAAGTTGAATTGGGAATGTCATCAATGTGACCCTAGCAGGAGAGATGGTGGATCCAGAAATTCCATAATACATTCGTGATATTGATAACTTCAGGAGATTAAAGAGCTGATTAGGAAGAATCTATTTTACTTTTAGGGAAGTAAAATAGAGACATTAGGAAGATGTTTTATTAGGGTATTTTGAATTAAATGATAGGACTAGACAAGAAAGAATGTTTGAGGATGAACCAAAAGAGAGAATGAACAAAAGAAACCAGAAGGATGTGGATGCCATGAAAAGAAGGGTGGAATAGTATATGTTTTAGTAAAAACATACACTATAAGAAGGGTAGCAGAAGAGTAGACTGTTCATAAACAATAATTAGAGCTTATCTTTGTTAAGTGTGGAAGACACAATTTAGGACAAGCTGAAAAGTAAAGGCTGAATTACAGCTGCAGAGAGAAGAGGATGTTCTGGCTTAACGAGTCTAATGCACAACTAAGAGATGCAGCAGTATCACCTAATCTTGTTCCATGGATTTGCCAAATGTGACCTTTAAGTGAAACCTCAATTTTTAAATGGCATTGAAAAAAATTAGAAGAAGTAGAGGAAGTATGCAGACTTTTTTGAGAAGTTTTCAGCAGCCTCTCAGTAGAAGGTAAATGCATATGAATTAAGACTTCTTTAGTCTTTCAATGATGAAAGCTAAGAGGAGGAATCATGTTAAGAGTCATTGTTGAAACTGGTGGTGGGGACTGATGGAAGAGAGAGGAAACACCACACACTTTTATTAGTCAGACCAGTGTGCTTTCTACATGCTTTGCTACCTGTTTTTTAAAATGTTTAGTATTTGCATAAGGTTATCTATTGATATCTATCTAATTCTCTTAATTACTATATTTTATAGAATAGATATTATAGTAAAGCTCACATCTTAGGGAAGGACAAGTGAATCTTGGTGGCAATAACCTTTTTTCACTGAAAACCATGGTGAGGTAAATGAAGAACGAGATTGCTACTTTTCCTGAAGTCTTTTGTGATTTGTTTGGTTATATGTGTGGACTAAAGTGGCAGAAGAGCAGCCATTTCTGTTATTTTGAAATGACACTGTTATAACAAACTCTGTTATTTTGAATAACTTTGGGACCCCACCTGGAGCACTTCATCCAGCTCTGGAGTCCTCTGTACAGCAAAGACAAGGATCTGTTGGAGGGGGTCTGGGGGAGGCTACATACATGATCACAGGTATGGAGCACCTCTCTTAGGAAGGCAGACTGATTCAGTGGGGTTGTTCAGCCTGGAGAAAAGAAGACTTTGGGGAGACCTCAGAGCAGATGGCCAGTATCTGAAAGGGGCTTACAAGAAAGGTGAAGAGGGACATTTACAAGGCCATGGAATGATAGGACAAGGGGTAATGCCTCTAAGTTGAAAGAGGGTAGGTTTAGACTAGATAGAAGGGAGAAATTTTTTTTATTATGAAGTTGGTGAGGCACTGGAACACATTGCCCAGAGATG